TGTGTGTGTGTGTGTGTGTGTGTGTGTATTTCAGGTTATCACTGCAGTGCAGAGACACTGTCAGACTCAGGTTCAGTGTTCCATCTTGTTAGACCAGGCTCTTTACCTGGAGGATGTCGCTAAAAGCCAGAGCAGCCCAGTGCGAAACTTTGTGCACAGCTTCCCCTCAGCACATGGCCACAGCTGGATCCGCAGGTTCATCTACACGCCCACTGTGGGTGAGTTCAGTCAAATAAAGATACCTATTCTCTGAGACATGAATGTGAGTAGTTTGCTTTTAGTTGAAATTTTCATTTTGTTCCTTGGAATCCAGAATACTGCTGTTTTGTCACTATAGTCATTCTGGCCATTTAAAAAGTATAAAAGTAGACTCAGATGAAAGCCCTTAACTTCCTGTTAGACCAACCACAGCAAACTTCAAATTCAAGCTGCCTGTTTTTATGTCCAAACCACTTGTCAAAAACAGAAATATATACATATAACTGTATAGTTATACACTACGGGATGTTTTGGGGTAACATGTGAAACCCAGGATCAGTATTTCTTTTTAAAAAGAGGAAGCGATTAGTTTTTTATGTGGAAGCATCTATGTGGAAACCTGTTTCTTTTAGAGGATAGAATATAAGGCTGTGTAGTGATTAAAAATGTAGAATCTGCTTTGTTTATTAGTTCTTCTTTCTATGGATCCTATTTTAATGTGTAATTCTCCTCCGGTGTTTGTATTTATACACATGTATGTGTGTGTTTGTCCTCCTCCTTAGAGTGGTACTGGGAGTGTGTTTTGAGGCAGGTCGTCTACAGGCTGCTGGCTGTGCTTCTGTGCCTCCTCTCTGCAGCAGTGGTCTGGTCTGAGTGCACCTTCTTCAGCACACACCCTGTCCTCTCTCTCTTTGCCATCTTTATTCAGATGGCTGAAAAACAATACAACTACATTTACATTGAGGTGAGCATGTGCACAGTGAGGGCCAGTGAAACACATGGAAACTCTGCAGATCAAGCGGAAATATTCTTTCTTTAGACTGTCGTCCCTTTTTCTCTTAGCTGGAGAATTGTTATGAATCCTTGCCTTTATAAACACATAGAATATCCTCATTATATTGTTAGTGATTAATAGAGATTTGCTGTGAATAAAAAAAAATACACAGCACAATAGGCTCAGTTTAAAAATTATCTATTGAACTCAACCTGTTATTTTGTTTCTGCTCACCAGGTGGCGTGCTTCATCACTATCTTCTTCCTGTGTGTGTGCGTCTACTCCACCGTGTTCAGGATCCGAGTTTTCAACTACTATTACCTGGTGCCACATCACCAGACTGACGCCTACAGTCTGCAGTTTAGTGGCATGTATGTATCTTATAAAGTATTTATGTCACATAACAGGAGCTGGCTTATCTGTTCAATCATTGTGTCAATTTTCATTTTCAATTATGATGAGGTTGCTGCTTTTTAATTTCTCTGCTCAGGTTGTTTTGTCGTCTCACTCCTCCTTTGTGCCTCAACTTTCTGGGCCTGATTCACATGGACTCTGCCGTCTCGCACCAGGACAGAATACCGACTTCTTACACTTCTGTGGGTTACGCACACATTTTAATGCACATGTCACAGATAAGAGCATCATGGAAAAATGTAGCAGGATATGGTTGCTAAAAATTTATGAAGAAATCTCTTTGTCTTTCTTTCTTCCAGATCATGGGCTCTATGCGTCTGCTTTCTTTCATATCAGAAGGGTTCTACATCTATTATCCCATGCTGGTCTTGCTGCTGTGCTTTGCCACTTTTTACAAGTAAACCATAAGTAACCCTAAACAACTAAACACAATAATTATAAAATACACTGTAGGTTTTTGTCATATGTTTACGAGATCTAGAAAGGGCAAAAACACGAATACCAATAACTTTTTAGCTAATGGATAAAATTTGCTCATTACACAGTCTGGGCAGTAATGATTTTTTTACATTATTGAAAATATGATTTTAGCTGTCTACACGGTAACTTAATGCATTGTTCTCTTGAAGTTGAATTACAAAGGAAAAAGGAGGTTGTCAGATAATCTGGAGCTAGATGTGCACATAGTCCACCTCTTTGGTACAAGTAGTAGAATAGTCATCAGTGGTGTACAGGAAGTCTGAACATAAATAAGATAAGTTTTAAAGTATATTTTGAAATGTTCTGTATTTGGTTGGGTTTTTAGCCTGGGCTCTCGCTGTTTGAACCTCCTGGGCGTCTATCAGTACATTACTGACGATGACTTGACCTCTGACCTGGTGGATGAAGGCAGGGAACTCATCAGAAGAGGTAGTTTTTATCAGAAACTCGATCACTCACTATTTCTGTCTCTTCAACAGTGGAGTATTAGTTTGGCTTTTATGTGTTCCACTCATTTAATTGTAAAATTATTTTTGCTATTGTCATTACAACAGTCAGTCTGACAGTGATTAAATGCAACAGTTATAACTATTCCCGCTCTCTTTTGAGTTTTATTCTTATTTCTTATTCACCAGATTATTATTGTTTCAATGTATTTATTATGCCTCACATTAAGTTGTTGAATGTTTGATTTTTTTGTTCTTTAAATTAACAAAAGTGCATATGCTTTGATTGATATGCTCATAAATATGTCCTTTTGTAGAGAGAAGGAAAAGACAGAAAGCTGAAGATGGAGAAAATCGAAGATGGGTTAGGAATATTTTATTCTATCAAATAATTTCCATCAGAATTTTCTAAGAAGCCAAGACAACATACCCGATCTTATGGCTCACTGGTTCAAATGGTTTGTGTTAAGTGCATCCAGGTATTTATGAGCTGTTTTGTGTTTTAGGCCTGGAGGGAGCAATATGGGGCCCAGGGGACAACTGGGCGGAGCCGAGCTGGTTACACTGAGTTAGAGGATAACCAGAACAGCCCTGTGACTGAGATCAAGAAAGGTGGTAGGGATTCACAAAAACTACTGTAATTATGTAATAAAATTTTAATAAACAACTACTGAAACTGATTTTCCACATGGTCTGGATCGACGGCTTGGTTTTTATGCATTTGAAGTGAGATTGTTTATTGACAGTTGACCCGTAGACTTGTGCAGAAAACCAAACATCTGTCATTTTAGCCATAAGGCACCCCACCCACACAAGACAGATGACGGTGTCACACTGTGAGTTACTTTCAAAGTTGCACAGCCAACTTTCTAAAAGTCACTAAAATGTAATTAAGACAGAGCTGTCCAACAAAAATATTGTGTTGTGTCACAACTCTCATCTCTTTGTTATAATTCAAAGTTATATTTTCGTGGATCTGGATGAACAAATACATAAGTTATTCTTTGTCATTCTCAGATTTCACCTTCACCGGAAGAGATGTAGAGACGGAGGAGCAACAGAGAGGTTTACTGCAAGACCACTCCAGTGATGAAGGTTCCCCAAACAGAAGGTATCGTTTTCACTAAATAACTTCAACTTCTTTAATGTTAGATAGAGAATGAATAATATAATGTATATCCCACTGAGCTAAATTCTATAATGTCGAACATGACTTCTCTGTCAATACTCTGACTCTGTCTTTGTCTCAGTAGATCTACTGGAGGACGTTACCAGTCTCTGTCACCTTCTCGGAAAAATGTCTTTGACGATGTTTGACTAACCCGGACTGAGGACGTTGAGGAAAAGTAAAAAAAACTAGTACCTGCTGGAAATAACAGTGACTGATTTTTTTTTTCCCTGAAGAAAGTCATGTAAAGGATTTTATCTCAGGAAAAATGGAGGACACAAATGTATCTGGGAAATGTTTGTATTATGAGGTAACAGATTCTTAGAGGATTTTATATCTGGATTTTATAACTGGTTGAAGAGATGAATTACTGTACAGAAATATTCCTCAACTAAAGCTTTAACCTTTTTGTGCTTAGCCAAACCTTTGTGATATTAACTTTTGGAGAGTTGTGTTTCATAAGCAGATGGATAAGATCCATCCAGTCATTATCTACATCACTTACCTGAGGGTCAGAGGGGGAAGAGATGGCATTCAAACTGGAAGGGGGGCATTCACAGGAGTCACATCCAGAGAGGAACAAAAGTTCCCTCTCACAGTCACACCTACAGCAAATTTATTTCTTAAATGGATTGTGTGATGAGGCCTGAAGGAAGGAGGAAACCCACTCAAACACAGGAAGAACATGCACAGTCCTCTCAGAGGGAACCACGGTGCAAGTTCAGAACCTAAAACGTGTTATTCATTTTGAAAGTTTTGTGTTCATGGACTTAATGTTGAGGATCATATTTCTTTTACGAATTTTGGGGTGAATATTTTGCCCATTACCTTTAGCCTCTGTTGGATTATAAATGACCTAAAATGTGTGCACTTTAAGTACGTTTACTGTGGATTAAAAAAAGGAAAGCAAAGAGCTTATTCTTTGAAAATATACATACACTGAAAATACTGGTTTTAAAAAAAAAGACTAAGATCCTGTAGATACTGTAATTGTGTTGTTGGATTTTCAACTTAAACTTCCTCCTCGTGTCTTTCACTCTATCTGTATTTTTAATGAAACAGATGTTTTATTCAAAGTTGAAGTTGATTTTAAAGATACTTGACTCAAAAAAATTCAATGTAAGAGGACATTTTGTGAACGATGTCAGGAGAGTTTACCTTTATAACTGTGTCCGAGTGCTTACTTCAAATAAAACATGAGAAAATGTCAGCAAGTCTAAAGGAGAGTTTTGTGGTCACGATCATTATGAATAGAAATGTATTGACGCCTCAGAAAATTTGAAGGAAAAACGGTTTTACGGATTTATAGTGAAATTAGTATTATTATTATTATAACATGACTGTTAGAGGCCATTCTAATGATCACAGTTACAGATTTCATTATAACATATAAAGTCTGTGGTTAAAAACAATATCTGTTTCAATGGGTGTTTTATTGTGGTCAATTTTGTCCCCTTCCAGCACCCGTACCGTAAGTGCCAGAAACGGTGCACAAGAAAAAGCGAAACCGCATCTCGTCAGAAAACCGTAGTGAGCAGTAAACACCGGGGCGCGCTGCTGTTTGTGGGACAACAATGGAGACGAGCTAACTGTGTGGAGGTAATGCGCTGATCATCTACACAGAAGCGCGGGCAGCTTGTCAAACACATCACCGAGAGTCGCTGCGTGACCGGAGCCAACGTTTCAATTCTGCTTCGCCATTAAAGGGGACCGGGTAAGTCGAGGCTAACGATGCTAACGGCAGCTAAGCAGCTAGCACAACGGCGCTAGCAACGTAGAGTGGCAACGTAGACAGCTGTTAGCATCGACTGTTAGCAACACATTCAGCTGTTAGCATTTGCTGCCCCAGAATAAGAAAGACCCTTTGACCAGGTGTCAAATGTTTCGAGTGTGGTTAATAACCAACACGTTTGTATTTAGCAGTGATCTCTGAGGAGACTGTACAGATCAGATTTTCTCCCAGTGCTTGTTTGTCAGTTCATCTGAGACTGACCCCCTCAGGCCACACTCCCCTGCACCCTGACACAGATTCATCTCTCTACATGAAGGTAAACACCGTCAGCTAGGTGAAAGCCTTCTCTCATACTTGGTGGTGCGAGTGAACATCTGCAGAGATTCACCACCTGGGTACCCGGACATGACCTGCTAATGCTTGCTCTCTCACCGTCTTGCAAACATTGAAGTTGACTCATCGTTGTTCAGGGAAGAAAATCTGAGTTCTTCCTGTTCAGTATTTGGCGATTCCACGAGTCCTAACATTTGTGTGCACAAAAGCACATTTTCATAAAAGCAGAAACTGTGGTAGTTCTGGTTAATATACTGTAATTTCAGAAACACTTCCTGTGCTCGATTTTCTGTGCAACATTAGTTTAGTGTGATGTAATCCACTGCTATTTCAATGACCGACAGTAAGTTTTTAATCAATTTGCAAAATCTAAATCCAATTTATACTAATTTAATGACCAACAGACAGTAAAGACTTGTTTGCAACATACATTTATACAAATCATGGAAGGTAAGCTGACCCTGGCTGTGGTATGTGTGTCTTCATTCTGCAGACAGCTATGGGTGGGTTGGGGAATGGGCGTCGTGGAGGAAGATCACCCCCTCTAATGATCGGTGCTCTAATCGCCTGCATCCTGGTTCTGGGCTTTAACTACTGGGTGTCCAGCTCCCGCAACCTTGAGCTACAGGTAAGTTCATCTGTTTATCTCTATGTGTTTCTGTTGTTTTCTAACCATACTGAACATTGCAAATATTCCCATTTGAAATTGTTACTGCAAAAAAATTTAAATATGTCTAAAGGCTGCGATGCTTTTATGTAGGAGGGACTTTTTTCTCACCAGTTAATTTCCTTATCCAACTTTCAGAATAGCAGATTAATTTTTAACCGTTCCTTTCATGCAAGTCACTATAAATAATTAACCTAACCAAGGACCTTTTTTGTATTGCAGAACAGGAATAGACTAAAGGCCCAGTCACACTGTTCTGTGAAGCGTGTGTGCCCTTGTTACTGAAAGCCTTTTACTGTCTTTGATATATGTGACGTTAAGAAAAAAAACTCAGCTTTATATTATGTCTCAATTAAATTGTTACATAACCCAGTTTCTTACCATGTTCAATAAATAGGCATATTATTGTTTTTATCATTGTCTGTGTTCCTTTCCTCCTGATGCAGAATGAATAACCTAAAACAGTAATAAGTAGTTTGAAGTACCCTTAACCTCTCTGTCTTTCCTTGTGTGATTCAGACTAAGCTGTATGACTTGGAGGGCCAGGTGCGACGTGGAGCAGCAGAGCGAGGAGTAGCAGAGATGAAGAAAAACGAGTTCCAGGAGGAGATCCAGAGACAGAAGGAGCAGATCAGCCACATAGAAAGCCTGTACAAGAGACAGCTGGAAGCAGCACAGAACTCCTGCAACCAAGATAAGGTGCACACAAAATCCACTGGGGGTTAAAGTAAATGAATTTGGGGCCAAGAAACACTTCTTTGGCTTACTTCTTGTAGTGGTTCACAATGAACTTAGAAATTATGAAAGGACAAAATTGATGATGATGAATATTAATAGAGCATGCAATTTTGCTTTTAGGGAACACTGCAGGAAAACATTTCCTCTTCTACCAAAACAACTCAGGAACTCAAAGGTAACTGTTGACATTGAACCCGTTTAATCTCAAAAACAACAGCAGACAGATCTTCAAAGGAAAGTAACAAATGAAATAAATAATATTCTAACGTGGCTCTTATTGTTGTGCTTGTGTCTGTACTTCAGTTCAGTTGAATCAGCTGAATGACGAAGTGGGGAAGCTGCACAAGGAGCTACAGAGTTGCCAAGGCAATATCAACACCCTTAACAACAAACTCACTTATGACATGTAAGAAAAAAAAACTGTATCTATTTATGTTGGCTGGAGGGAGATAAAGATGTATTTATTTATCTTAATTTTTAGTATTTGCAGCTCTCTTGATATGAATAAGTGACAATAATCACAATTGATCATGAACTCTAGGTATCAACTGACACAGTGAGTGCAGTAAATATATTTATTTATTCCTTTGTTAACATGTCTGTGTGTCTGTTTTGTGCAGGACCCAGTGTCACTCTCAGGTCCTTTCCCAGAAAGAGTTATGTGACGAGAGAGTAGCATCTGCTAAACTTGAAATTCAGAAGAAAATGGAGAAGCTTGTCGTCTCCACACAGGTGAATTGTTTTTTCTGTTTGATAATGAACCACGTGATGTTGAGTCTTTTCACACGGTTTGTATCAGAGCAGTGGATCAGTGCTCATTGAGCCATATGGAAATATGTTGCAAATGGCCCGATCCATTTCTGATGTTTTTGTCATGATAATTCATTGCAATCCCTGAGCAAACTTTGTCATAGACGCACCATTCCCATGTTAAAACTTGTAAAGTGTCATATGACACAACATTTGCATGTGTTTGTAATACAGCAAACAGCTCATCTGGCTTGTTGATGTTCGTACCTGCCCACCTAACTCCACTGCTTTTTCAAAGTCTGTACAAGATCATTCTCTATAGTTTGCTTACATGCAAGTCGGAAAATGGAGTCGATGTTGCGTCTTTTTATGTCGTAAAATCTAAATACTGGACCAACATATTCTGTAAGGCCCCTCTCTCTTAAAGTGTTTATAATGAATAGATCTAATAGTATTGACTGGCTTTTATGTTTCCTAATTTTGTGATCATTGTTCAAAAGATGCTCTTGTGGTTACGTAAAGGAATTTGGTGTAAATTGAGATTTACTCCTCAGCAGGAAAAAACAATGGATCCAGCAGTAAAAGAGGAAAGACCATTTGTGTCAGTGGCTGATCCAGTTAAGACATCAACTGATGTGAGCCACACTCCAAGTGTTTCTCAGCCCAAAGGAAATGAACCACCTGAACTACTGACTAATGAGATTATTGTTGACCAAGGTAAAAGTGAAACATGGATGGCTAAGTGTACTTAACTGAAATCTCACATA